TGACACTTTACATTAATTACACTTATGCATATATTATTTTATTATAAATTATTTCAAAATCAAAGAAGAGAAGGGGGAGAAACTTTAATATTGACATTTCTAAAATGATATAAACATTAATCATTTAGTACAGTTTGTTATTTCAGGCAAAAAGAATTCACTTTTCTGGATAGCATTTATATTTCCATCTCACTTTCAATGAAACATTAAGAGAAATGCATATAATTTAAACACCAGTTTATTTTATTTATCAGACAGATTATGTCAACTCAAAAAAACCTATCAGTAAAATTCGGTAGTAATAATTCTGAATGTTAGGCAACTTGCAAGATTCAACAAAAATTATCAATACTTTACTTTTATAATGACAATACTACAGTAACATGAACATAAAATTAAACTGCATATAACTATAAAATAAGCCAGCATATAATAATGGTGCATTGGTTTCTAAAACAATGGGCTCGATGAAAAAATACATGTATTATGGTAGCTATTCATATTCTTCAGCTTTCCTAATATTCTCATGTTCACTTTACATAACTAAAGTATCTAAAATACAATAAAAATGCAAACAATATTTATGAGAAAATGTTAAAAGCAATCATAAGCATTTGATTGAATGACCATATTTTGTCTTCCTGCAAGTCGAATCTTAAAATGATATGCAGTTTGAAAAATGCTTAATCCTTTTATAAAATATTCAAAAAAGATTAAAAAAAGGTACTGTTCTGTTATCAGGACCGGGTTCAGAATTGTATTTATGTATGCTTGTATATTTGTATGTTTCTACATATACACATCTATGCACATACTTACGAACACAGGTTCATACATTTCCGATTCTGGTCCCAATAACAGAACAGTACCCCCAAAAAAACTTGAATTACAAACTAGATTAAGATAATGTTTCAACCATACATATTTTGGACAAAACAATGCAAACTCTTATTTTTATACAATTGTTCAAACTATTTAACATAAATTTATTGCTGCAATAAAATAATAAGCAATCTGATCACACATATTATTTTGAAACTGAATGCATAAACTAGACTAAAAAAAATTCAGTCATAAACATTTGGATAGCAGGGCAAATTAGATATTTGAAAAGACAGCCAGCCATTGAGATACACGTAATTCACGACAGAATGGTAACAATTCATAAAGCTGTGAAACATTTAACTGTAAAAATGACATAAACATAAATTCGAAAAGCAAAAAAAGTAAACATACAAGTATTGCAACTGAACTTACCTTTCATGCAACAAAAAATATCCATACAAGTTAACCTCATGGCGCAACCATTTTGGATTTCGTTTCAAATCAGACAGATGTTTACGGATTTGCGGAAGAATACGAGGAACTAGTAGTTTGCCGGATACAATGTGCAATGACGCGAAAGAAATATAGTTCTGTAGAACTTCCTACATTATTCCGTAATAAACAGTACTATTTCCTAATTTTTTCTTTATCTAATTAATTAATTAATAGGGAAATAGTTAAATAATGCCGAATTCATTTTTAATGAAATGTAAAATTTTGCATGTATGGGACGACCACCTTCCGTCCAATATTTCTGAGAATATAAACAAATTTTGGAATCTGAGAGTATCAGTAAATAAATATATAGAATATCGCCTCTCAAACGACCACTTCTGAAAGTGACCAATATAAATAAATATTGATATTAAGCATTATTTCTATAAGACGACCATCTCTATATAAGACCAAAGTTTCTAGAATCTTGGATAGTCATCGGAGATGTATCTTTACTGCGAAATTATCGCACGACTGTAATTCAATATCAATAACAGATCGCGCGATTGAAAAACATTTTCTGTCCTGTAATTAGAGGAAAAAAATTTTCCTTATGAGGTATTTCTCCCGCTTTCCTAGCGTGCCTTCGTGGTGTAATAGTTCTGCACGCTGGGCCGGTATTTCAGAGGTCCGTGGTTCGATTCACGGCGAAGGCGGTTGCTAATTTTTCATCTCTACGGCTTCCCAAAAAAATCCTAATGTCTCTACAGTGGCGCCCGAACTAAAAAGGTGTTGGATGAGGTATATCCACACCCAGGATTTAGTGATTGGATCCCCTTAAAAAAAAGTCGGCCTTTAAAAAGAGAAGTAATATAAGGTATTTTTCTCCCGCTTTCCTAGCGTGTCTTCGGCCCACCAGCGGCCGAGCGGTAAAGTCGCTGAACCCTGGTAGTGCGATCCGAGGTTCGAATCCCGCGAACGGTCTGGCTGCATGGGTGTTTTTGTGATTTTCCCCACGTGTAACGTGTATACGAGCCAGTTTCCCTTAGAAAGTCCTCCACGAAGACATCCCTCCTCCCCTTAGGCAGATAGCCCTAGTGTGCTTTGCCATAATTAAATACACCACCACCCACACCTAGCGTGTCTTCGTGGTGTAGTGGTTCTGCACACTGGGCCGGTATTCCAGAGGTCCGTCCTTCGATTCCCGGCGAAGGCAGTTGCTAATTTTTCATGTTTCCTGCTTCCAAAAAAATACCTAATGTCTCTATACCCAAATTTAAAAAAAAATTCGTTTCCGTAATTAAATATATCTATATCTAATTTTACCTATATTTGTAGTAGGGTTTGTAATCTGTAAGTAATTATACATGTAATTTATACATTTTTTATAAAAAAAAATATATGTTATTTAGAATTTTGCAAATATTCTAGAAAATGCTAATCCATTGAAAAAAATCTTTTCCATGACTAAATAAATTTTTAAAAACGTCAGAAAAAATAGCAGTTAAAATTAATAACAAAATAACAAGAATAAATCATCAATCATATCAATATTTTTAATGTACAGCATTTAGAAACAACTTAGTAAAATACATATGAAAAATAAAATAATGTGCAAGTTTCAGATGTGCAATGTCAAAAAATTAAAACTGGTAAATTTGAGAACAAATATCCTCAAAATGTTTGACAACGAAAGTCCTCCGGACAATGCAGAATGAATGTCCTCAGGATGTGAAATTGGTGAACTCCTCAGGACATCTGAGAATCAACATCTTCAGGACATCCTGTCATATCCCGGGACATAGCGACTTAAATAAGACATCCTCGGGATGTTAAATTACGATCTCCTCAGGACATCCGAGAATCAACATCCTTAGGACATCCTAAGTATGTCCCGGGATATTGCGACTTAAATAGGACATCCTGAGGATGTTTTGTGCTATCGGGGTAACACTATGTTACTTGTAACAAAATAAATGATTTAAAAACAACTGTTAACGTTTATATACTGTGATTGTAAAAACATTTTCTAGTAACATACACATAATGCGGCTACAGACTTTTGAGACTAAACTCGTGCTCAAGTTGAGAGAACCAAAAGTTAATTCTTAATCTTCATTATATAGCATGTAAATCTATATGGAATTTGAAATTGCAGAATCTGGCACTTGCTTAATTCCATGGCAGATTTCCTCTTTGAAATGTTGTTTATGTGTTTATATACATACAATTTTATGAAACTCTTCATTGCCCCGGTGACCTTTAAGTTGAGGTTTCTTTTTAAAGAAGAGAAAATAATCATATAAGTGCAAATGTGTTGTATGATAGGAATGGTTGTAAATTGTGACATCTCCACTTTGCTAGAAACTACTTAATAAGAAAGTGAAGAGAAATATTCAGTTATTTTACTAACTTTTTCAGGTCGAACACGCTGAAGTTTCTTCAGAAATCTGAGAATTACATGTTTATAACGTTTGAAGTTTACCATCTCATCCTCAGAAACTGATTCCTTGTGAATTATCTCCTTTTCAGATCAAAAAAGATTGCCAAGATGGTCTTTATTCAACATTTCTGTAATCGAAGCTTTCTTTTTTTTTTCTTTTTTTTTTTTTTCTTTTGTTGCAATGAAGTTTTCCTTTCCTGAGCAGACGGTTGCCGTTCTCTTTCAGAATAATAAGCAAAACACAAAATATAATCGTCAATTTTTAAAAAAAAAAATTTTAAAAAGATTTTGCTCTTTTTGGTTTTTTAGAGTAAATTTTATTTTTGCGTATTGCTCAGCTTTCGAATCCTAGACGCAGGTGTTCACTGAATCAAAACAAGCGATTAAATAAACAAAACATTCTGCAAGCAGATGACATTTTACAAAAAATAAATTTTAAGATGTCACACTAATAAAGGCTGTCAATTATGGTTGGTAGTTTTGCTGGAATTTGTTTGAAAATCAGTCTTATTTTAGAGTTGTACTATATACCATATATCTGGTCTCAGAATTAGAATCAGTTACGATAGTTTAATTCAATCAATTTTCATATAATCTTTAATATAGTTAATTATTGTTTTTTTGTCCTTCGGAGTTTTTGATATAGAATTTAAATTCCAGCCTTCTCCCCGCAAAAGCAAAAATCGTCCTCAGATTTCTTTTGTTTTTTTTTCTATTTATTTTGCTCGTAAAAACGTAGTTTCATAAAACAATGTATATTTATCTGTCAAAAATACTTACTGTATACTTAACTGCCTTAGTTAAGTATGGAAAACAAATTGACAATATGTTGTGTCAATATTTGAAATTCAGAAAGCAGTTCTAGAAATCAACAAATGCGGTTTCCCTTCAAGATAGCATCGCAAATTCTTTCCGGGGATCAGAAATCCTAAGAGCAATTTAGTAAAATTCATGATTTGTTTGTGCATAGGCATATATATTTTAATCAACTCATCTGCTATAATAAATACCTTCAAATTTCTAAAGATATCGATAGGTACAAATTTAGTAGTATATGGTTTATATATTTCTGTTTTTATTTAAGAAAGTCATTAAAACGTTCCTATCCAAAATCAACAATAGAAAATAGAAATGCTCATATCAGTAGAGTCACTCGACGGATTGCTTAGAATAAAATATAAATTCGTGGAAAATCAGTGCTGTCCAAATGACAACCATGACAACAACTTTTCCGAAATCTGCTACGTATCATTAAACTTACATTAGTGGAAGTAGCTGAAAATGATTGTTAACTTACTTGCATATGTTGCATCATGTTCGAACGGACTGCTGATAGTGCATTGCGTGCCTTTAGGATTTCTTTCGCATTGCAGTAAACGAAGAATTAAAGCTTGTTGTTGATTAATCAGCAGTCATTTCTGTTTTCCATCCAATGTTTTGATAGCTAATTTAGAGAATAAAATTATATTTTTGAAATGCAAGAGACGTTCGTAAAACGCAAGATATTTAGAACATATTTTAAAACATTTTTTTCGTCATGTATGAATAATAGTTATAGAATTTTGAAAAATTTTAATACAGAAGTTTCAGCAAAAATGTACAGTTCAGTCATCATTTAAATGGATTTCATAATTTTCCAAATGACATGGCTGGACATATTCGACAGTCCCAAAGTATCACAAATAATTTAATAATTATGCGCTGAAAAAAAGGAAGCACTTTTATGCATCGTCTGTATCCTACTTGTAAATTATATCACATAAATGAAGTGAACTCTTTTTAAGATGACCACTTACAGTTCTATAAGATTTTGATTTTCCGTGCTTCATTAAGTCATGATCTTCTTAAGAAGATAAAGTTCAGTGCCGATGTTTTATTTACGTTCTAAGATATACTGGCCACATTTAGAAGTGATATTCGTAAAGGAACAGACCATTCAGTGTATTTCACTCTCTGTGTTTGTATTATATAATATTATATAAAATTTAAATTTATATTTCTAAAATGTTTTACGTTTTTAAAATTTACTCTTCAATCTGAATGTTCTAAAATGTTTTTGCATCTTAAAAATTTACTTCTCATATACAGAATGATTTTATGATCATGGAACAAACTTGGAGGGGTGGTTGAGCGTACTAAAACATGCATTTTTTGTATACGAATGTAGGGTCTAAAGTGACATGTTAAGGCACGAACACAAAAAATGATACGAGAGGAAAAATGAATTTATTTACAAAATCAAAAAAATTTAAAAAAAAATTTATTTAAAAATCAAAGCCCTTCTTTGCAGCAGTACAGTATTCACAAGAAATGTTAAAAAGTACGACCACCAACAGTACTACGAACTGCAGCTGTGATAGGCTGGCAATGGAACGGGTAGAGGAGGGTAGTGAGCCGAGCAAAACGCGATCCGATTGCATCGGCGAAAAAATTACTTTGTCCAGAATTACTTGGATGCGAATTTTGCGGGGCGATGGACCAGTCCGATGGCCATCCCATTCTCCAGATTTATCCAGCGTGGATTTCTTTTTATGGGGGGCATATGAAGGGCATCATTTTCGAGATTCCAGTTGCCTCGCTGGAGGACCTCGTCGCACGAATATTTATTGCGGCTGCAAGCGTACGCGAAATGCCTAACAATTTTAAAAGTGTTCGACGAACTCTTCTACGACGCTATCAAGCATGTATTACTGCTGGTGGTCGCAATTTTGAACATTTCTTGTGAATACTGTATTGCTGCAAAGAAGAGCTTTGTATTGATTTTGTAAATAAACTCATTTTTCCTCACGTGTCATTTTTTTGTGTTCGTGCCTTAACATGTCACTCTAAACCCTACATTCCTATACAAAAAATACGTGTTTTAGTATGCTCAATCATCCCTACAAGTTTCACCCATAATCATAGAATCACCTTGTATGTATATTTAAATTTAGAATATTAGGCCCTTTTGAACAACAGTAAAATTTATTTCAGATGTAAGCGAACATAAATAGATTTTACAGAGAGAAATCATAAAATTTGAGTTTCTGCTGTTTCGTTAAAATTTTACTGTGTGACAAAAGAAATATTAACAAATCTAAATAAAAGTAATTTTAAATTACTACACAGTTATGTTATCACGACATGTTTATTTTTTATAGCTATGATCTTTCAGCAGCATTAAATTTTGTGTTATTTAGTGTAGTGCCTGGTCCTTCTAAATTTTAATCTTAAAAGTAAGTAGCGCCCTGTTGGTGAGAGAAAGAAGTTAGCTGGAGATCGGCATTCGGTGCGAGAGGCCGGGTGTTCCAATACAGCGAATTATGTAATCAATTCTATTCCTGTTGACTTTTTTTAAACAAAGAGTACATATTGTACATAAACTAAATAAACGAAAATATTAATCTGTGTGTATTACCTGTGCACAAGATACAGCACCAGCTCAATTGGATTTGGCGCAGTCGCTGTCGACTGAGCTGAGATAATACTGCTTCAGCTAAGAAAAGGTAAGAAATTTAAGCTTAACTATTACTTTTAATGTGGAAATGCGTTAAGGAACGGTGGAAATGCGTTGATGCAAATGATTTAAATATAATTCATGAACTAGTGGTAGCCGATAAATTGATGCAAACGCTTGACAAACATGCATACAAATGTAAAATAAAGTGATAGCTGATTAAAATTTCAGGAAATCGGAAAGGAATGCGACATGTTCTTTGCTTGCAAACGAAAATCATTAAATAAGAATGGTAACTATTCTCAGAAAACGCCGAATGAAAACCAAAAGTATTCGCTATGTATTCCCTCCAATGCGATAATCGGATGATTTATCCAAAACTAACGAAGTTAAAGCTTGTTTATTTATGGATTTTTCCAACTGTAGTAAGTAGCTGAAGATTGTCAGAAAAAATGTAAACGCGTAAATCAAAATAAAACTAATTCCAAAAGTTGTAAATTACAGGAAAATAATGCTGTTATATAGCCCATACCAAAGCATAACGTATCGACAGAAAACAAGTGGAGATTCAGCCTAAGCAATATGTGAAAATAACTAGTTGAAAATTAAAAAAAAAAAAGATTCTATTTTTGATTCAGGTACATGGATTCCGTTATTAAACAGTGGTATTTTATCGCGAAAGGATAAAGATAGGAAAAATCGACTTGATATTTTCATTCAGTGAAGAAATAGAAACGAATTTAATAAGGTTATTTACGTGGTTGAAAGACAAATATTCCGATTTAATAAGTTAGCGGGTAGATATTTTGGCCGCAATGACTGATCGATTGAATGTGAATTGTTTATTACCCATATCTTGCCCGATGGATGTGGTTTAACGAAAGAGGGGGGACGAAACTGGAAAGTGAAACGGAGAAATGTTTAGGCTACATGAAGTATACGCTTGAAATAAATATTCCTCCCTCAGAAACCAAAATGCGAAACAGGTCAACACGCATTTAGCAACAACTCCAATACAGATGCTCGAGAATGATCATCATAGGGATAAAAGAAGTAAGGATTAATTTAAACGGAAACAGGGAAATTTTATGGAACTTGATAATCTAATTCTTCATACGGATAAAGTAATAGGGGATTCAGCTTAGCAGTTCTTCAGATGAGATGACGAAAAGACGTTTTAAAATTAGCACATGAATCTGTTATTGGGACTCACATGGGTAAGAAAAGAATAGATAGAATAAGATATATTTTTTCTGGCCCAGTATCGCTTTATATATTGCAGAATACTGCCAATCGTGCGAACCATGTTAGTTAAAGATGTTCCGAAAAAATAACAGAAAGAATTTCTGTTACCGCAGTTCTAAGACCTTAATTACCATTCGAAGTTGTTAATATCGATATATTAAGTACTATAGAACCTTCTTCGACTACAAAGCATTAATATGTTTTATGTCTAGTTTATCAACATTCTCGTTGCGCAGGAGCCATTCCATTACGTTTTTTAAAGTAAAAGCTACGTGCAACACTCTGCTGGAAATATTCTTGCGTGCGTACGGGTTCGAAATACATTGAATGCACACAGAATTGGTGAAAATTTCATGAAATTTATTTTACCAAAAGAAAAACTTTACAGTTCTGGAAATTTCGACAAAAATATTCGTATCTCAGTAATTACGCTTCAAACTACTAAGAACGTTAAACACAGAGCAGTGCAAAGCGCTTTTGAAAGCCGAAGCCCTCACGGATATCTCAGTACTCTCAATTCAGCTCTGAACTAACAACTACTACTCAGAAACTGATGCTTTTTTCGCTTTTGAAAGATTTCTATTACCTTCCACTTCTCGAAATTACTGGAAGGCATATGAGGGCCGGATGCGGTTACAGCTACATATAGAGTCAATTACAATTAGTCAGTTACAATACCCATTACAGTTATACAGGGACCGGACCCAAATGTCGGCAAATGGTTGCCAAGTGTGGCGACTTTTGGCTACTTCTCATCAAACTTAGCGTCAAAAATTAGTCGCCAAAATCATCGCTAGCTTGGCGATATCTAGCCAGTTTAGCGAGATACCTATTTACTTAATATTAAGTATGCCCCTGTATTGTAACTTTTCCGGCAAAGCTTCGCTTCTATAGATTTTCATGTTACATTATTATTATTTTTTTAAAGTACAAATTCTTATATAATTTCACTAAAATTATTTACATGTAGGGTTTATATTTATTTTAACTAACATTTATTTTAAGTTTAAACTATCTTTCCTGTCAAGCCTTACTTTCCCCTGGAATTGCCAATGCCAGAGTATGTAAATTTTAGTAGAACGCGCAAGGATTCAAATTGTCAGCGGAAGTAATCTGAGTTAAATAGAAGGGAAACGAGTTCGAAAGTGTGCTTTCTTGCTTCACGAGCGTGGAGGTGTGGCTAGTTAGAAATTGAAGAACCACGCGTTTCGGCCTGTGTGTGCTTGCCTCGGCAGATTGTTAATCTTTCTTTCAACGTAATATTCAGAAGTTTGCTGAATTATCAGCGGTATCTTAGAACGCGGTGAGGTTAGTTACGTTTAGAGAGCCTCGTAGTTAGTCACTTGTTACTATTCTTTTTTTAGTTTCTTATTTTTATTTTACCGCCGGGTCGGCGTAGTTTGTGAGCGTCAAGAGCACGCATTTGTAATTTCTAAAGTTGAATAAAAAGGGATTTAAACCCTTCTCAAGACTTTCCAGTTCTTTCCAGTTCTCAGCAGTCACCACTATTGTTGCGTGCAGGTTGGAAGCGCGCAACATTACATACATATGAAAAAAAATTCGTAACAATAATGACAAGAACTGGAGTTCCGAAACTTATAGTAGCTAATTAAGAAACTGACTGCATTTCTCAACTGACACAGCAGTTTATGAAGCGTCTTGGATGTCATCCAAAACTTTCAGTTCAAGGATATCCAGCTAGTAATAGAGATAGTACCCTCTTACTATAGGTAGTAACTAGAAAGGGTACTATAGTGTTCTGA